CTCGTATGCATGTGAGAGCTGGACAATGAATAAGGAAGACTGAAGAAGAGTTGACACTTTTGAGTTGTGGTGCTGGCAAAGAATGCTGAAGGTACCATGGACTGCCAAAAGAACTAACAGATATGTCCTGGAGGAAGTGCAGCCGAGATGCTCCTTGGAAGCGAGGATGGCCAGACTTCGTCTCACCTACTTTGGTCGTGTTGTCAGGGGGGACCATTCCCCGGAGAAGGATGTCATGCTTGGTAAGTTGGAGGGTCGACGAAAGAGGGGATGGCCTTTGACGGGATGGATTGACACAGTGGCTGCGACAATGGGCTCAAGTATAGCAAGGATCATGGAGCTGGTGTGGAATCAGATGGTGTTTTGTTTTGCTGTGCATGGGGTTGCTATGAGTCGCAAGCAACTCGATGGCACATAACAACAACAACAACATTGAAACTTATAAAGGAAAAGTAGAATTTTAAGCAAATTAAGAAAAATTTTAAATTCCATCTGTAGAATTTAAAAGTTTTTATTATTCTGCTCCTGATAGATTACATTCAATAGCTTTATTATACCAAAAAAAACCCCACAAAAACTCACTGCTGTCAAGTCAGATCCGACTCATCGTGACCCCTCCCTTAGGTTTCCGAGGCAGTGTCACTATTGAAATAGATTGCCCAATCTTCCTTACGAGGAGTTGCTTGTGGGTTTGAACCACCAGCCTTCTGGTTAGCAGTCAAATGCTTTAGGCACTATGCTACCAGAGCTCCTAGCTTCATTATAGGTTTATCATATTCTACATCAAGAATTCATTATATATGATTTTGGTTAGAAAGTGGTTTCAGCTGTAGCATATTCAAATTTTCATTATAACATGGTTTTACTATACTTGGGGAAAAACACCTATGGTTATAAACAGCTCTGGAGTAAGAATATGAGGCTAATGTCCATTTTCTTACAGTATTTAAAGAGTAGTACTTGATCTCAAAAAGGAGCTCTGGTGGCATAGTGCCTAACGTATCTGACTGCTAACCAGAAGGCTGGTGCTTCAAACCCACCAGCCACTCTGCGGAAGGACGACTGGGCAATCTATTTCCGTAAAGATTTACTGCTTCGGAAACGCTGAGGTCACTATGAGTCGGAATCAACTTGATGGCAGTGAGTTTACTTGATCTCAAAAATGACATTTTAAATAGAGAACAAAGAAAATACAAATACAAACTGATTTCCCAGCCTTCTTTCTGAAGCAATCTGAATCCTGAAATATCGACACTATAAACAATTCCATATTGTATTGATGTCTCAGTCGAAATTATAAGAAATTACAATTAGTTGTCATTATTAGGTGCCGTTGAGTCAGTTCTGACTCATAGAGACCAAGTTCACAACAGAAGGAAATACTGCTCAGTCATGTTGAGCCCATCACTGCAGCCATCGTGTCAATCCATCTCACTGAGGGTCATATCTTTTTTTTTGTCTTCTGTTTTGCTGATCCTCTACTTTACCAAGTATGATATCCTTCTTCAGAAACTTTTCCCCTCCTGATAACATGTCCAAAGTATGTGAGATGAAGTCTCACCATCCTCACTTCTAAGGAGCAATCTGGCTGTACGTCATCCAAGACACGTGTTTATTCTTCTGGCGATGCATGGTGTATTTAAAGTTTGTCACCAACACCATAATTGAAAGGCATAATTCAATACCATAATTCAGGTGTACCTCAGTCCTCAAAGTGACATCTTTGTTTTTTTCACACTTTAAAGAGGTTCCCTGCAGCAGATATGCCCACTGCAATAAGTCATTCTATTACCTGACTGCTGCTTCTAACAACTTCAATCATTTCTCCTTTTATCATGATGTTGCTTATTGGTCCAGTTGTGAGGATTTTTGCTTTTGTTATGTTGAGATGTAATTCATACTGAAGACTGTAGTCTTTTATCTTCATCAGTAAGTGCTTCAAGTCCTTCCTGCTTCCAGCAAACAAGATCATGTCATCCGCATATCTCAAGTTGCTAATGAATCTTCACTAATCCTGATGCCTCATTCTTCTTCATACAGTCCTGCTTCTTGGATTATTCGCTCAGCATGCAGATACCACCTTGGAAACCCAAGGAGGGGTCCCTATGAGTCAGAACCAACTCAATGGCAGTAGTTGTTTTTTTTTTTTTTTTTCAGACTCAATAAGTATGTGAGGTTAATATAGTAAGTTTTGTTGTTTTCTTTTCTTCTTCCTCTTCGCCATCAGATTTACTTTCATAATTATGTTTGAGTCCATTCATGAATCTAGAATTATGATCATAATGTAGATGAATACAGCTAATGCTATGCTGGTAAACTGCATTTCTGGAGGGAAAATAAAAGCTTGTTTTGTTGTTGTTGTTGTTAAGTGCCGTTGAGTCGGACCCGACTCATAGCGACCCCTCCTTGGGTTTCCGAGGCAGTATCACTACGGAAGTAGATTGCCCATCTTCTTTCCAAGGAGTGGCTGGTGGGTTTGAACTGCCAGCCTTCTGGTCAGCAGTCAAATGCTTTAGGCACTATGCTACCAGAGCTCCCCCTTGTTTTGTAGTGTTTGCCAATTTCTGTGATATTAACATTCCCATCATGGCCACTTTCAAGCTACCAATGGGAGGTCACAGAATGTTGAGCTGGAAAGAGATGTGTAGAACTGGATCTCAGAAGCTAGTAGAGGCAAAAACATTTTTAAAAGATCCTATACAAATCATATAATCTTCTGAGTATGTATGGTCATCTGGTGGAGCTCTGGTGGCATAGTGCCTAAGGCATTTGACTACTAACCAGAAGGCTGGCAGTTCAAACCCACCAGCCACTCCCTGGAAGGAAGGCTGGGCAATCTACTTCCATAGTGCTACCACCTCAGAAACCCAAGGAGGGGTCATTAAGAGTCAGATCCGATTTGACGGCAGTGCGCTGCATTGTTGCATTGGTCATCTGGTATTACGTGTCCCAAGATTTAATTCAGTTCTGCACCCAACATCAGACTTTGCTTAATTGTGAGAACTTATAGTAAAGTTACATGGAATTAAAGACAGGTTGGAGGTAGAGATGTGAATATTCTAGTGTAGGAAGAGATTAACAGTGACATGACTGTTCGTTTAAAGCCTGGAAACTAGACTGTAGTTGATTTGGAGGGACTTTAAGGGGTGATGTCCCCAGTTAGTCTTAAGCAAAAGATTAAAAAATTAAGCAATTCTAAAATATCTATAAATGGAATATACTGCCACTTTACACCTACGAATAGCTTAAATTTAAAAGGTAATCTTAAAAAGGTAACTGCTGGTCACAATGACATCATATTTATATATCGTGGACAGATAAGACATAGGGAAAAATGTTTTATTTGTTTTGGGATTTTAAAATTGAGCATAAATAATAAAAATGAACATTTCCAAGTGTTCTAAGTCTAGAGATGTAAACTAAGCAATGTTCTACATACGTATATCAGAAGTCATACTGGATTTCAGATGAATTCTCTAGGTATTTTTTGGTGCTTTTTTTTTTTTTTCCTAAAGTCAAAACTTAAAGTTTAGAAAACAGGAATGAAAGCTATATTTTAAAGAGAAAAAGGATAATGAGAACTAGATCTCTGAGAATTCCCTGAAAATCCTTTGTTGTAAGACAGAAAGCCTTACCACAAAAAGAAAACCTCTCTAATAAGACTTATAAAATGAATGTGTATTAAGAATGGTATAACAAGGGCAGGGTAGTTCAGAAGTCTACCCCAGGTACAACAATAATGTACATGTCTGTACAGAGTTCAAAAACAATAATAAAACTGAATAAAAGTCAGTCTCTTTTTATTTTCACCATGCACTGACAATCCCAAACAATGTCAAGGTATAAATAAACCTCCTTTGCCTTAATGGATTGCTCCAACTGCACGTCCCCACTCACCACCCTCATCTTAGTAAGCCATTCACTATCAGTATTAGGAAATGTCATTGCTTAAGTCTATCATAACTCTCAAGAATCAACTATCTTTTCCCAGGTTAAATATTTCAGCATTTCATGTGACATTTTAAACTGCAAAGTTAAAAGAGTCAATGAAACTTTAAAATATTATTTTCAAATTTCTAGAAAGTGATCCTCATGTAAGCAGTAACAGTATTTTCACTTAGTTAAATTGGAAAGCCATTTTTTATAGACAAACATATATAATTTAAAATATATTACTTTAGGTAACCTTATTGCCCTTGGCAGCACAGATGACATACTCTAATAAACTATGTATATTCAAACATAGTATAGTAATTATCACTATACTACAGAATGTAGAAGATAAAAAAATATACTTTCACTTTTATCATTGTTATTTTAAAATGAAATGAAGACTAGATTAACAAAATGACAAACGGTCCCAGGACTTGGCTGAAGTTTCATTATACCTCTGCAAGGTCTGAAAAGAGTGCTTGGCTTGTGTTTCGTCTCAGTGTATCCCAATAGCTTCTGGAGACAAGTTCCTCTCCATCTGTCTTAAGTACCTGTAGAAATTTTAAGAAGCACAACTGAAATCTTAAGAATTGTCACAAAGAATGATAATTTATATACTTTAAATCTCTTCTAACCAAACTTGAGAAGAAAACACATTAGCTTACCTTTTTTGTTTTCTGCTGCACACAACAGTATTATATTACACTGCTGGTAAAACTCATGGTACTTTCAAAGGTGTAATGGTATATAACCACTATTTCTAAGTCAGTAAGACTTTGTCAAAAAGAAATAAATTCTCTCCCTCATGTCCTAATACTTAAATATGCATAACTTCTAAGAAAGTGTAAGATAAAAATTTTATTCACACCTCCTGTGAAGTATAAATTCATTTGAAAAAGATTTAGGTGAACTATAAAAATGATGCATAATTTTAAAGTGAATGACTGTTGGCTGTTACACTGGTTAATCACAGCCTCAAAGGATTAAAATGACCATAACCACACTTAGGAAACAAAGTTTAAATTAATTCAAAACTTGTCAAAAAGAAATATACCCGATAAAGTCAAATCATTCAAAACTACTCAGGGATCTGGTGATGTGTCTATTATGAATGGATGAGATTCTTTCTTTTTTTTTTTTTTTTTGTTTCCCCCAGTTTTTAATTAGATTTGATTTTTTCTTTGCTTTTTTTAAAACGTATTTTATTGAAATATAATTTATGTGCACTGAAATACACAAAGCTGAAGTGACATGGGTCAAGAAGTGGCATATGATCTAGAACAATGGTAATGAAGGAAGAAGTCAAAGCTGCAATGAAAGAACTGGCGAAGAACAAGGCTCCGGGAATTGATGGCATAC